TTTTTTTTTCAATCGAGGAAAAAATTATAAATTAATACTCTGTATTCTTTACAGATATCTCACGTTTAAAATAAATTCTGTGCGAGAAAAGATTAATTATTATTTTTCTTTGCACTGAATTATCACGTAATTCATGATATTCAATACGCAGATCTTTAAATCGAACGAATGTTGATACAGAAAATATTTGATACTTTCAAGCTCTTCTTTTTAATATTTTCTTCTACAGTCCGTGAGGCGATTATTTTCTGTTTCGCATTAGTACGGCGTTTCGCTGTAAATCATGTCGCTGCGATTTCTTTATATCTATATATCAATGCCATCGTTCGTTTCATAACTGGTCATATCCATTCAGAACTTCTCACAAATGGTTTGAAACTTTTAGACTTCTTCGGCTATTGATAGAGCAACGCTATTGATACACTTCTCCATTTCTTATATTCAACTACTTATATATCGGCATACATATAGTTCTTTTTTTTTAAATAAAAAATTATAAGAATTATTTACGCATCCATCTTATTTCGTCATAAATAGCTTTATTGTTTTAACACCGAAATATATTAATAACAATAATGATATTATTTGGTTCAATCAACGGCACGCTTTGCAATTCATTAATATTTCACATTGATATTGTATATAATATATGCATAGTATTGGCTATTTGCACATTTATCCAATTAATATTTAACGGGTCTTATTCGCAGTGAAATTTATTCAAATCTCTTTCTCTCTCTCTCTCTCTCTCTCCCCCTCCCTCTCTCTCCCTCTCTCTTCAAATCGTAAAATTAGACAACTCATCCCGTATCTTTCTATTGAAATTCAATGGCACTTTTATTCACACTGAATTCTTCCTACCGCGTATATACAGCATGTACCTATAAATCCGCTTCTACTTTAAAGCAGTTCTCTGGCGGTAATACATTGTGGCGTGGCCTTAATACAATTTCCGAATTTTCTCTTCTACCCGGTTCTGTTCATTCAAATTCCAGTCTGCGCGATCGCTCGCGCTGGGGAACATCTGCCGAACCGATCGGCGCGGGCGCGGCGGCTTGCACACATGTACACATCGAAACGCGCGAACATCTGAATCGAGTATTATTGGCCCGTCTTCAACTACCTTCCGGGACGCAACACCCGCGCATCTCCAAGTCTGCCTTCCTTCCTACCTGGCGTACACCTAGCCGACACATGCAGTAGGCAGCCTAGAAATTGGTTTCTGTATTCCCCGGGGAAATCGGGCTCTCGCACATTCGAGGAAGGACCGAGGTGCGAGGCGGGGTCACGTAAGATAACCGTTGCTGTATGCATGTGCGCACGGGTATCTGTCTTTGCATGAACTATCCCGACGACAAGATTGGTCTCTGAGCCTGCTGTGAAACATTTAGGCCTTGTTTAGATACGTATTCGTATTCTAAACTGGCTCATTTGAATTCTACGTCCTCACGATTAGTCAAGCAGTGATCAAACTATTTGTAAATCAAATCGATTGGTTGATATTTCTTATTACGTAATATTGTGGAAATAATCTAAAGAAAATTCGAAATACGTTATTATTTGAAGTAAAGGTCCACTAGTCGGATTCTGATCACTCTCAACTTTTTCCTGATAGGGCAATCTTGAACTAAACAAATATGGCCAAACATTACAACTGGACGCACAACTATCATTTTTCTTGTAAAATGATAAAAATTTTTATTATTATATCTTGTTTAGTGACGAGATATTTTGTTATAGGTAATATATATTTTTATGAATAATAGTTTGTGGTACTTTATGGCTGGATTCGGTTTGGACGTTCATGTGTTGTACGCGCTTTTATCATAAGCGCTTTTCTATATACTTTGCAATAAAGAACGAAATATTGCCGCCATACTTATTTGTCTCCGTGTTCAGACTCTGACTAGAGGTTTTCTAATTTAAAGTGATACAAAAATACCGATCAAAACTAAAATATTATGTACAATGAAGTACTTTAGTTAAAATATTATTGTATTTATAGAGGTAAATCTAGAATCTATAATAGGTATATTTTTAGTGTTTATTAAGTAATTTGGACTAATTTGAAATAATTTATATAAGTTCTTTTAAAGAATATCGCGATATTTTAATTTCTTATTATTTGAAAAGTGAAGTATATACGAACGTCTTTATTAAATAAAAGTCGATTCTGTATCAAGCAACGAATTTATTATTATTAAAGATTTTAGTTTATATATAAGAATATAAATAGAATATCTATGTCAAATATACATGATATGATTAAATTTTAATTTAATTTAGACATTTCTCATACGGTTAGTTTTCGTGGAACGAAATATTGTATAAATATATTTGATGAAGAATAAATAAACGGCCTTTTTCGAGAAGATAAAGACTCCTGTTAACTCACCACTCTATTTCAGATTGTAACGTCAGAAGTGAGAAAATACACAATAAAAATTCTTGTAAAATATATTAATCTGGAAATTCGTTTCAATAAAACAATATTTACATTCAATTGAACCGATTTGGAAATTTTTTTTTTATTTCATTAATTAATAAATAATCATATATCTGGAAATAAATTATGTGATCAAAAATGAAATAAGTTATATTTACAGCTACGACAAACAAAATTAATAATATATAGAAATAAATATGATTTAATTTCTCCTCGAAATTAGATTTTCGAATTAAGAAAATATATAGTTTTCGATATATTTTATAAAACTATTCTATCTTCTATCGATTGCACGAATGCTGTTTTATTAAAAAATATTTCTAGTCAAACATAATTTACAAGAAATTTTATTATGTTTTCTCGTTTCTAACGTTATAATATAAGATAGTAGTAATGAGTGAACAGGAAACGTATATTAGGTATGGTTGGAATTATATACAGAATGGATTCTGCAGTCGAAAACGTTCAATTATTCCCTAGATTTCTATTGTGTTTTCTAGGGAAAATAGAATCAATTTCGATCGGAACTCCATTCCAAATAATTTTCTAATACGTGCCCAAGAGCGTTACATGCGAGCAGCGCTTTAGGGCGCTGCTTTTCATCAGTCATGAATATTATAATTTTGACACTGTTCCCTTCTTGAGAATATTTATTAATGACGTGCATCCGGTGCTAACAGGCATTAGTTATATAGCGACGCAGTTCTATTGTATTTCACAGATTGTCCTAATTTAACGGCATGTATGTATATTCTGCGATATAGGTTATTGTATTGCAGTCGCAATTTGTGATTTTCTTTGAGCTTTACTAAGTAAAGCTACTTACCATTTTGTTATATCGTAAAATCGCATGTCTCTTTTATGGTTGCTTGAATCATCGATATTGCCGCCTAATCACAATGCCAGAATATATTGCACGATAGACGGTATAATCGAATTCGCAAAGTAATCATTCTTTTCATTCTTCTGTAACGTGCTCAATTCTTTATAAGAAAGAACCTACATATACAAGCGCGACAAGTGAAATTTTTTCCATGTATTGGGTGATTACAAAAGTTCGTGCTCGATTTAAAAAAATGTTCATGCAAGTTTAGGATTCAATATTTTACTCAAATTGGTTATCATACTAATCGATAGAGCAAAGTTTCAGCTTTAAGAATTTGTTTTTTAAATTGCGATGCGATGACTTTCAACGGAGTTATGAATGATCAGAGTTAAAATGTTCTTTTTATTTAATACGGACAACTTAAATAATATAACAAAGGTAACAAAAATAACAAAAAATGTTTTAGAAATATAAAAAAAAAACGATTTTGTAGGACTAAACTTTTATGTTAGACAGTTGAACATTATTGCAAATATTTTTTGGAAACGTGACATGCTCACAAAGTGAGACAAAAATTTTCTATTTTGTTTAACTCGTAGTTTTCTATACGTAAATATGACCGAACTCTTAGAAATTCAAAAAACTTAGTGATCTCTCGAAAGTGGAGATTTTAAACTTTAAGATCCTTTTTAAACGATAAACTTCAAATTTTTTATACTAAATTACTGCTTGAGTTTTAATATTAAATCAGAATTTTTGCTCTTATTCAATATAACTTTAAAGTATTCAAAGGAGAAATACAATATTTATTATCCAATATTAATATCCATTTCTAAGATTAATTTAAATCAGAATCAAGTATAAAATTGTTCTTGGAGAGCATTCTACCGATTCATCATGCCTATATCATCTCTCGTTAGATTAATAAAGATTAATAAAACTCGAAATTGTCATATAGTATCAAATGGATCAAGTTGACGCTCACAGCAAGCGATAAAATTTAATCGAAGAATTATAATGTTACATTAATGACATTTATCGGGTTCATTTATTATAATGCGTGGGTAAAATTCAAATATATACATAAATAAACCTACAATGGATTATTATCTCGAGTAAGATTGCAGCAGCAGAAAGCTCTCAATGTTTTCCACGCTTTCAGTTCCGAGAGTAACGAGATTTTCTTCCGTTGCGACGTCTCAACAATTACATCAGGCTAGGTCAGTTCGGCCTTTTTTCCGATGGTGTAACATTTGGAAGCGTGCCACCGGCATGGAAACAGAAAACCGTACTGTGCGGGACTGCGTTCTTTCTCTCTCTCTCTTTTTTCGCCCTTTCATTTTTTACATCTTCGCAGAAGGTATGAGGGTATGAGGGTAGGATAAATATCGCGTCACCGCGCTGATCTTTCAGCGATATGCGGGTGCATCCGCGTCACGGGTTTGTGTCGTTGATAAAGCTGAGCGATTCGGTTCGATAGCGATGATGCCCTCCGTTCTGCCACGCTGCTCGCCACTATATTTCTGCGACGACGTCGTTGCGTTTTCCGTCGCGAAAACCGCGTAACAAGAGAGAACAAGGTGAAAAACGACCGCATCTCCGGAGGTAAATTGACGGTTTGAGGTGCGACAGGATCGTTACGTCCCCGCGACAGCGCGGAGATTTCTTTTCTCTCCCGTGGCCAGAAACGGGTTTCAGGAATTGAACCACTACCGCTGACTTTGACAGCGTGGAATATCAATCTTAAGTAGATTTAGCTCGTTCCATGCGCTATCCGAGCGTTGCCAAAATCGATGTTTGCTCCAAGAAATTATTGCAAGTCGGGAAATCGAAAACATTGAAAAAGATAATCAAATCATTGTAAATGTACAATCCCTTGCCCAAATATAAAGCATTTTAAATTTATTTTCTTAAAAGAATATTGGCGGTAATAAAAGGCAAAGGAAAACTAACAAAATATTAATATTGTTATAAAAATAAATATTTATTTTATTCATTTGTGTTTATATTTATTTATTTTTATTTATTTTTTAATAAAACTTTTTAATTTATTTTTCATTAAATATAAAATGCTTATATCAATTTTTAAAGGCGTTTTATACTTATATAACCAAGGCTATAATAGAATATAGCTTATAATAGAATTACTGAAAAAGTAAAGAAAGTAAAATTAAAAAGAATTTACGAATATCTTAGCGCGATGAATAAAATAATAAAGTTATTTAATGAGCAATATCTATATTTTGTTTTGTAGATACCTATATCATGTTTGTAGTTAATATGATAATAACAAATATAATAATAAAAATAATTACGTTATAATTTCTTTCATTTTTAGCATACACTGGTCTTTTCATTTTTCCGTTATCAGCCGAGTTTTTTTACTCTTTGAAACAATTGAAACGTGGGTACCATTATAGAGAAAGTCGGAAACATTGTAACTATACTTCGTTACAAGGTCGGGCGGGAAAAAGAGTTTATTTATCGGGGAAAATGGGAAGAGGGAATTTTTCGTGTTTATGGGTAGCGTCCCCCGAAACTACATTCGTTCATACATACGCTAAAACTTTTACCATCGTTAATATCGTACATATGCAGATGTATTGCTGTGTGCTGTAGGTACATCGTTTTAATATCGCAGGCCTGTCAACGCGATTCGGGATCATTTTTCGTATGCTGGCAAAAATCCAGTGAGATTCGCTGTGTTTTTAAGAATAGACCTCAATGGAAAGGGAGAGACTCAGAGAAAGAGAGAGAGAGAGGAGAGAGAGTGCTCAACGGGAAACACGAACGAGAAAAGGGAGGAGGCTGAGGATCGGACTTACAGGTCGACCGTTATTACGTGCACAGTTTCTTATTCCCCGCGGAGCGATACGCGTTCTATTCCCATTCAACGAATTTCTTGTCGGATCGCGAGTGGGAACAGGATCGCTGTAGTTGTCGTTTCGGTACACGTAAAAGCGGTAGCACGGGGAGCCGTACACTGCGACGTGGCCCAACGGTGGCTTAGGGATATACCTTCGCGTGCATTTTCATGCACTTTGGAACGCGATATCATGGATAATATAGTAATAATACTTCGCTATCTCAAAAAATAACTAGATATAAATTGGATCGCCTGCTCTAACATCCTTATACGATTAATGCTATAAATATCTTTATAGCATAATTTTGATAATCTAACTTCGTCTTTTATATTTAATGACAAGAATGTAATTGTAAAAGGTGTAATAAGTGTCACGTTGCGTCACTTTTGGATTTAAAACTCTTGTTCACTATCATATACCTTAGATTATGATGTCCGAGCTGAGAAAATACACAATAAAAATTTTTGCAAAATATCTTAATATGGAAATATTATTATAATTTTCAATAAAATAGCATTTACGATCAATAGAACTGACTTGTAAAATATATTGAACTCTCCTTTCATTATTTAATAAATAATCATATAATATGGAAATTAATTATGCATAAACAAAAATAAATCAACTATGTCTACAAATATGACAAATTGTCAAATTAATAATAATATAAAAAAATAGGATTGAGTTTCCCTCCAAAATGAGAATATAGTTTTCGATGCATTTTGTAAATTTATTCTATCGATTGCAAATATTATTTTATTAAAAAATATTGTATTTAAGTATAGTTTGCAAGAATTTTTATTGTATTTTTCACTTTTATGTCAATCTGTGGTGAGTAAACAGGAGCTTTAATTCATAGTATTTCAAAATTTAAATTGTCTATTTTTTCAAATAAATAGCTCAAATAATAGAATTATTCGTAACACAAACAATTCTCATCATACAGAAACAGTTTGTCTTGAGAAAAGTTTACTTAAAATGATACCAGTCCATTTCTTTTTATTTTAACAAATATTAAATATTTGTTCAAGTAGTTTTCATATAATGATAGTTACAAATAATAAGGCAAAAATGGTTAACTGGGATAATTTGCTGAGTTAATATACAGTGGATGGCGTCGAACGCGATGTTTAAATAGCATACTTTTGATAATACTCGACGATTCCGTGAGAGAAGATATGACCCTCCATTTCCCTCTGAGTTTCTCGTTGCCGCGTGTCCGTTTCGGGAAAATAGCGAATAATACGACTGAGCTAGATTCATACGAGGATAATGAAAATTTCTTGAATGGAGATACTTATCTACTTATTATAGGAATGACTTGTACGGTCGGGCGCGCCTGAATTTCCGCTACTTCGTCAGTAATCGTGTATCGTACACAATAAATGTGCTTCTCTAGCCAATTTGTCAATGTCATATCCCTTTCGTTAACATTATCTCTCCATTCGTCCGATCTTCGTTTTCATATCGCTGTTATATCCAGCAGAAACCATTTAGACAAACATCCTGCCTTTTCTTCCAGCTTTCCATTTGACGATAATAGAATGTATTGTATTTTTAATTCTATTACAATAGTTATCCACTATTATTTTAAATGTATAGTTATATTATTAAATAATTCACACATAAAAAAGCATTGTATAATCAGCATTATGTCATCCATAGTCATTTTGTTGAAGAAATGCAATTTCTTATTTAATAAAGGTATGAAGAGAATTGTTGAGAAAGACAACTGTATCGTCATATCCTTTTCTGTTACAATAGCGTAGCCATTGATAATAATTAATAATAATAGAAAGTAAATACAAATCTCAGGGAAATTTTTATTTGTCGTCGCGAAAATAGCGAATATAAAGAAAGTCTCGCGAGGATAAGTAGAAATAGTGAATGCAAGTCGCATAGAAAGCGCCGGAGAAAATATTTTAACTTGGCTTTCGCCCTCAGCATGATAGATCATATTCAAGCGTTGCAATCTACTTACGTCATAGCCAGAAAATTCCCCTTTTCCAGGCGGCCCCGGCGGACCTTGCGCACCCTTTTCACCGGGTATTCCATCTCGACCCGGCTCGCCCTTCTGACCTTGAGAACCTTCCGGTCCCGCTATTCCAATATCACCCTTGTCACCTTTAGCCCCGGATGGGCCATGCAGTCCTCTTTCCCCTGGCGGTCCTGCCGCACCCTGAAATCATCACGTTAATTAAGCATAATTCAATATTATCAGGTATATGTTTAACGGTATTGTCCTTTTAACGAATTTAACTGCAGCACCAAAAGTGATATGTATGGTTTTAAACTGAAAAAAATTAAATTTTGAAAAAAAATTGAAAGAGAACTTGAGAAATTCTATAGTTCAAACTAATGATTTATAAAATTTACTTTTTACAATTGTATTTTAATATTCGCTATATTATTAGATGTCTTTTGCTATGTACAAAGATGTTATATTAAATAAAATTAGTCATAAGTATCTTAAATATATGTCACTTTTAGCGTTATCGTTAAATCTTATTGCTAGAATCATGAGAATGAGAATCATTACCGTGAGACCCATTAAGCCCTGTTTGCCTTCTTGTCCGGGTACTCCTGGCTCGCCTTTTGGCCCTTGTATCATCTTTGGCATCGTAAAGGAAGACATTAAGGCCGTGGCGTTGCAGGTGCAAGTGCCGGGGTCTCCCTTCTGACCAGGTGGTCCCTGTGGTATCTTCATTAGCCAATCCTTGAAATATCAATGTATTTAACGTCGCTGTTGCATTTGTTACCGCTCTACCAGAATCAGTTATAATAACGTTAACAACCAAATATTAGCAAACTATTAGTTGCAATAATGAATAAAGCGATACAATCAAGTTCCGACGGTGTCTAAAAGCAAATACGCATGTACACCAATAACAGCGTACCAATAACAACGGAAGATAGTAAGCGCCGTGAAAGCGGCTTTGATGTAATCAGTGTTACATGCGACAGGCGCCGGTTCTCTGGTGTCGATGCTAAATTGACTCACGCGAATAACAAGATAAATGAGTGATCCCGGATTCAGGCGTATTCAGGCCATCTTCAATATCGTACCTGTGCACGGATCTGCGGACGCGATCGCGGTCTTTATAGTTAATGTAACGAGATATCTACACCTACAGGAAGCACAGACATTTTCCCCGAGTAATGAAAACTTACACTGTGATATATACGAGATATATGAATAGCTAACTAGTATAATACTCGGAATAATATAATTTAATAAATAAGTTCACGAATAATTTCATGCATATATAATATTTTTAATACGTTTTGAAATAAGATAAAGCATAATTTTTATGTTTCAATTGCAATGATGCAGGTATATTATGTTATTATAAGTAATTCGCTATATATTGAAATATTCTTTTGTGTTTTATTGCAAACGGGAACACACATTTGTGTATAATAATTATAAAATAAAGGGCCACGATATAATAACTGCAATAAAATAAAATAATTATATTGTTCTCATCAATTGAAATAACTTCTTAATAAGTTATTCTAATTATGATAATAATTTTAACCAATATTAATTTAATCATTATTAATTATTCAACTGTATTGATTTAAGCATTATTGGAAAAAGCACAAGAAATAAAAATCGTTTTTAGGACAATTCATCGTGGAATTAGTCCGTAAAAAAAAATTCGTTGATTGAATAATGCACTCACCTCGTCGCGACCAGGCGGACCAGGAGGTCCTGGAGGACCTCTGACGCTCTCGCCCTTGTCCCCTTTGTCACCCTTTTCACCTTTCGGACCTTTATCTGAAAAAGAACGAATACGCGCCGTCGTAAGTCCACGCAACTTCGTCGTTCTCTGTTTTGACACGCCATGGTGATTTATGCGCGCGAAAAGTAGATTAAAAAAGTTTGCTTCATATTTTATCATCGTTTCTTCGACGCGATATCTCTGAAGTCGACGTTGCGCATCGACGTCGACTATAGCGAAATTAATAAACGATTTTTAACGCGCTGTCCTATCTTTGCTAAGCTAGGGATGTCGAATCGGATAAAAAAAAAAGAGAGAGAGAAGATATTGATGTTTTGGTATATTGATTAATTGGAAAACTGTCAGACTAAAACTGTCCCAAAATACTGATACAATATATTGATCTTTTATAGATAGTTAAAATTTTTGAATATCCCCGCAATAAATTAGATAAATGTCGCGAGCATGACAAAAGAGATAATAAAAAATATATTTAAAATCGAGAAAAAATAATTTGATTTACATTTCTTATTATAAAACGAATGAAAATCTTGTAACAACAATAAATACACATATCAAGTGTAATAAACGACGGAAAATGGAAATATCGATTTAGCAGTTTCAATCGTTTGATTGAAAAATATAAAAGCGAAATGATTAAATAATGAAAAAATAAAAGCGAATTAATTTGTAGTAACCTGGATCATAAAAAAACAATTCGATTTATACATTTCTCAAAAGAATGAAAGTCTTGTAAAAACAGATAAATGTACATTAGTAATGTAATAAAAGGGGAAAAATGGAAATATTAAATTAGCAGTATCAATCATTTAATTAAATCGGAGCAAAATGATTTTAATTGATTTGAATTATTTTAAGAGACAACAGAGATGGGTTATTTCATGAATTAGTTATTTCTTTCACGTTCTCAATTACATATATGACATCATATCGAGTAGACGTCTTCTAATTTGTTAGAACGAGATTTAATGATAAAGCGTTATATCTATATACTTTATATATAAGCGGTTAAAAAATCGTTACTGCGTATTTCTTATCTATTATCTATTTGATGGTCTACTCACAATCTGGATTCGGAGGCGGGGGCGTGATGAATGGCGGCGGGTTACTTTCCTCGCTTTTGTCTTCATCCGCATCTCGGCTGATCTGAAAATGTATCATAAGCAGAACCGATAAAAGATCGAATTGCGTCATCTCGTTAACGATACATAATAGGACGATTATCAACGTCGTTGTAGTTGCCGTCGATTGCTAATTCAGGATTCGGTGCAGGCGTGCGAGTAAACAGCGTGTACTTTTTATTTACAGTACTTAGTTGCGACGTGAATAGCGAAGCAGCGGTCGGTTTATCGATCGCTTACCGATTAGTTATTTTAAATGCAAATTGCAGGTATATATTAAATCACTCTGTTGAAGCGACACGCGCGGGAATGTGTGTCGACTGTTTTCGATTAGTTTCGCGAAGGGACGACAAATATTTGCCAATTGTTCATTTAAATATTGTTGAAATTTGCACAATATAACGGGATTTATTTTTTACTGCAGATGATATTGATTGTGTTATGATGGAGGACAAGAATTAAAATCGATCTGGAATTGTATTATTTACAAGATAGGTTCTAAAAACTGAGACACAATAAAAGGACAGAACTTAATGTATGCAATAAAATTTAATGTTACTAATGTATACGAAATGAGATAATCTTAGGAGATGCGCAATTATTGTTCTTATGTTTTATCGTGTTCCAACTGTCATAACTGCCATCGCAAATTGTTAGTCAGTAGTATAAATGATCACATGCGCGCCAGTTGTGAACAATGCAATGTCCAAGTAAAGTTCCTCAGACGTGATACCGGACCTGTCTTGTACGCTAAAAGCGAATAATACATCAAGCAGTGACGGTGATTAATGAAGTTCCAAGCCAATCAGGCAGTATGGTTAGCACACATGACACCAGCCCTAAGTGTTTTCCGATAATTATCGGTAACGACGGCGCTTTATCGAACTGAGTCGACGTCCGGTCAGGATTTTTCGGCGATCGGAACGCGTTCTTACGTTATTACAAAAACTATATCATTTCCTATTTCCGTTATCTGAAATCTGTTAAATTTGCTCCAATATACCACCCATATTCCCGATTTATTCATATTTTCTTACTTGGGGAAATATTAATATACAAAATATTATTAAATATTAGAATATTCGATTGTGTTATTGTTTTATGAGATTTTATAATACCTTACCTTCTGCGCATATTTATAGAATTTGTGCATTTATAGAATAATAGCATTTTTCCAATAAACTTTCAATCATTACATAAACAATGTGAGAATATGAACGAATGGTCTAGTTATTACAAAATTAAAAAAATTTAACACAGTATGATGTTTAAAATGAATCATATATAAATAGCTTTATTATAATCTACATTATTTGTATGCTTAATTTGTTTATACAATATCAGTTATATTAATCTAAATACTTTGGATTACTCTAAGCAATCAATAATCCATGACTTATGGGCGTCCCGATCTTCCTTGTACAAAAATATTAAAATAGAAATATAAAAAAATAATTTACGAAATATTTTATATTTTATAAAAATAATAAATAACAGTAAGATTAAGGTTTATATTTTATGTCAAAATGTGCCAGAATGAAGTACAAAATATCTCATACAGTATTGACTTCGATATTTCTATCTTAATACTTTTATATGCAGAATAATTAGAGGAATCATATTATGTAAAAAAGTCATAATTTTATTTTAAAAAATGGCGATAACATTTATATGTCCTTGAAAAAGTGATTTTTTTAAAAATTAAATTTACCATTATTTGTGCTCCTTTATGTTATACAACTTTTATCTGAATATATTTTTAATTCGATCTTACTCAGCAAAATTATAAGAGATGATCAGTTAGGTGGAACATCCTGTAAACATATTTCATACATGTGTGTGTTATAGATATAGGTATAAAAATCTATATAACACATAGAATATGTATGTAATTCTAAAGCAGAAAAGCATGATATTTATTTCTTTTTGCTAGCGTAAAAAAAGAACGCGTTATATATTTCATTTCTAAAAATGGTGACAGTTCGTGATATAATTCATTTTTCAAAGGCTCGATTCGATTATTTTAAATGAAGTTATTCGTAACCGTTCATGCAGTATGACCTGTACAAGCCCCAGCAATTTAATATCTCCAAATTAATATTTATCACAAATTAATATTTTTTTCTATTGTACAATTCAATATTTTTTAAAACAATTTAATAAAAGGAAACTTCGTAGCAGGTAGTATTTTTCGTTATAAAAGATTTTGATTTTTTATTGAGAATTTTGTAAACATTTTTTCACGTATGTTTTTAGTTACATTGCGTATTCAAACACTACAAACATACACGCGCGAACAAAAAATACATTTGTCGCATCTGTCGTGCTACTTCAATAACGCATAGTATCGAATAACAAAAGGAATCTCAGTATCTATTCGTATGTAAGTTACATTTATTATATATACGTTTCGCTTATTTCACGCTATGGTAAATTTATAATTTTGCATTTAAATTAGGACCATTTGTTATTAAGGGCATAACAGTTATTTACAAATACAATGCATTCGTATAATGAGAATTTAGAAAATAAAATGACAATAACTCGTAAATAAATGTTATAATACGTTATACAATGAAGACCTACAGAACGCAATTGTGTTATTATATCGTAACATTTGCACAAAAGATACCTCCAGGCTGTTAATCGATCGTTATTATCTCACTTTTGTATTCATCCGACTTTGTCAGAATTTATAGCGTACATAATAACAATAATAATCTGCAATTCTTACGTGCTATTTCGATATCCGCCCGACTATACTACGTGAGATTTACGGCGTGCGGTCGGTGTAGTTTGAATAATTATATGTATTTCGACGTGCGCACACACGGGGGTTTACATCGCGACCGACGAAAACGTGCGTACTGGGAATACGGGCGGGATTTTCAGTTTTGGCGAGAGAGAAGTTTCAGTTTCAGCCAGTTGCTACGCGGCGCTCGTCATGTTTAATTCGTGCTTTTTTTCTATCGCCCCCCTCCCTTCCCTTCCCTCTATATAAACTCACGATGATGGTAAAATTACGCGGACGTGCACGCATCCACTGCACGTACATACGCGTACAGAGATATAACTAAGGGAAACGATTCGGTTTCCATAACACCTGCCGCACGATCGCAGGTATACACGTAGCATCGCTCCGGGCGTTATCCTCAAAATCGTTCACCCGGTACATACTCTGATCAGCTCTCCCATGCACGATCGCGTCTTTGCATCCCGCCACCGTACATTTCCGGGGCTTTCCGCGAGAGTAGGATTTCACGGGTGAAATAAATTCCGCTCTTCTTCGCGAGCTAAGAAAAGCTTCCCCTGTGCGCGAGCGAGTCCGATGCGGCTGAACTTCGACTGAATTTCCGGACGAGCGGGAAGATTCTGCGAAGGATTCGGGATGATGCGGGATTGCTATCATAAGAATACGCATTTACCATTATTTGTTCGATGTATCTCGTGAACTTTTGCAGTCGGACTGGATAAACGTTGGATCAATTCACGGAGAGAGTTGATCGTTAGATGTTATGGTATCGAACATTGCTTCCTGCTCGGTTACTAACAATAAGCAGTGAAATAAGTATCTAGTATTTCTTGAAAAACTATACATCTGTACCATTAAACGCGGTCCCAACGGACTTTTCTTAACTCGAAATATCACCAGCGTTTTTCAACCTTTTTTTATTTCTCGGCATATTTGAGGATATATTAAGCTGGATATACACGTATAAATGAAGGAAACGTGAAAGTTATTGTTATTTGTTGCACGAATGTCGCACAAATTCATGTTATATGCAGTGCACACTGACAGACGGTATTCATAGTCCGTTTTTATTTTAAAACTGTCTTAAGTAATGTCTTAAGATGCAAATACAGCCCTCTGACATCTTAAGACTGTATTTAAGACAATCTTAAATGTAAGAATCGATCACGAATATCGGCTAATGAATCTGATTGAATGCTCGTTCTCGATGAAATCAAGAACAGAAATAAACAGTTTACAAACACAAATAGGAATGTCCGAATATTCGCATTCGCTGTTCGTTCAGTGTTTGTTCGCTAAGTGTATACCCAGTTTTACACAGTTTGTTAACAAAATAAAGAAGTAACGACAAAATTATTCTATATTGTACATATATTTAAAAGTAATACGAAAAATTTGGTGATAACTTAGGATCTGAATAAAAAATTATTTTAGTAAGAAGTAGATATATTTTTAAAAAACAATTAAGATAAAATGAGAAAATTTTCGTGTAATCTATAAAATTGCTAAATATAAATACACATTCACGTTTTATGGTTCATGTCTTGTGGGAACGCGGTATAATGCTTATAATATTATAGATAGTATTTAATATTACTAAGGAATATTTTAATTTTTAGTAGTTTTAAATTTTTAAGTGTGCTGATAAAATTTTGGATATAAAATCGATTTAAGACAAAATCAGAACGAAAATTAAATTAGTAAATTAAATATGTATAAGCTATTTAAGTAAATGCTCACATTTTGCTTAAAATCAATACAATTGCCTGTCGACCATATTATATGTATAGATTCATTATTGCACATTGATATATTATAGAAGAAAAAGAAATCGGTTAAAGAGGATATAATAAATTTTCGATCTTTTCGTGTCTAAGTAGAATTGAAATTGGCAATCATTTCCGGTGGACGAGATATCGTGGTATACGTATGTACATAAATCTTGTTGACCTAATGAATTCAGCAAACGGTAAAAGCATCGAAAACTGGGTCAAAAACGAGTTCATCAAAATGCTATTGATCTTATACGGATCACCAGTCGTTCTGACACAAACTATTTGTTCAACTTATGGAAAGACGGAAGATGACGTGTGTGTATGTGTGTATGTGCATATATGTATATATATATATATACATATATATCTAATATATAACTGATCGTAGTCGATTCATTGCCGAATTTAGTGGGGGAAAGGCGAGTATCTTGTCTGCCTGTCTGTCTGTCTCTCTTTATCTCTATTTCTTTACACGGTATATTAGACGCATCGCTGCAATTTGCCGGAAGTTAACCTGCTGACCCGCGTTTCGTTCCCAGGAGTATATCAGAGATAGTTCTTCTTTTCGGTATGTTCGTGCGTGTAATTTACATTTGCGTCAATTGCGTCATACGCGAGTTTTGCAGAGTTTAGAAATGTCACTAATGAATTATCGAAAAAGCCAAGATTGAATTGATTTTTGAAAATTGTTTTCGAAAAACCGCTTTTATTAAAAAAACCTTTTAGCTCCTCGAAGAAAAACTTTCTTAAAATTGATTTCCTTGAAGTTCTTGTTTACTTACTGTCCACTACTGTCTCAGATTATAACGTCAGATACAAATACACGATAAATATATTATATTTGTATAGAAATATTTTTCAATAAAACAATATTTGCAATCGATAGACTAGACCTATAAAATATACCGAATTATCTTCTTGTTTTGGGGGAAATTAAATCATATTTATTTCTATATATATTATTAAATCGACAGCTTATTTCGTTTTTGGTTATGCATATAATTCATTTCTAGATATATGATTATTAACAAAAGGAAGAGTTTGGTATATTTTATTGTATAAGCAGTTCTATCAATTGTCTTGTCTTATTGTTTGTATAAACATTTTTATATATATTAATATCTATATTTTGCAAGAATTTTTATTACGTATTTTCTCACTTCTGACATGACAGTCTGAGATAATAGTGGTTGAGTGAACAAACAAGAGCCTTGAAATTAATCTGCTTGTAATAGATTACATGAATCGGTACACGTGACTTAGAATATGAGCTAAGTAACTAAACCTTGTTTACTTACTGTAAGACTCCGGATATTACTGCGATGTTTGCGGGAGTTGCGCGTTTTTTTTAAAGGTGTACTTAGCTTGATATAATTTATACGCGCATTGTTTCAGATTATGGCTAAATTTCATTCGGATCACGTCCAACTTTGTAATGACAGTGAGTGGATGGCAAAGATGGAGTGGCGACAGGACATTTCGGGTAAGCAAAGTTACCAATGCGAAATCCTAACAGAATTTTCGAGATTATCTTCTCAGTATTTACGAGATTATCCACGTAACCTAATTTCTCGTTCCCTCCCACCTCTTTTCCTCTTCTTTTCCGGCTTTCTCTTAATGGTCGATAACTTTTAAGGAAGTTCTCATTAAAACTTTATTCCATTATGAGGATTAGTTAATTTGAGAGGTATAAACCATAATGTGAATGTTATTAGTGAATAAAATCAATAATCTATAAATTGAATTATTATAAGGGATGTAAATATATAGGGATAAAGTAATTATTTTATTAATTATCCTCCATAATTGAATTGGATAGTAAGTACTTAAGAAATATTATAATATGTTAATCTAATTACATTAATTTAATAGAATGAAAACCAGATTATATTTTAAATTTAAAAATGAGATCATAATTTATGATTATGGTCATAAAACAGGATTATACATCATCCTGTATGAATAATTCAATGTAGATAATGTTGTGTTGTCTATTACTTGAGTAACTGATCTGTAATTGATGATATTTGTAAAAAATAATTACGATAACGAGCATCTCTTTCTTCTTTTATTTAGAGAATAGTTTTTTCAAGAACTTCAAGAGACAAAATTATATGTTAAATTACTATATATACATGTAATCACAGTGTAATCTTTGTTAATTTTCTTAAAGTGCTTAAAAAAGTGTAGAGAATAAAGAGGAAATCAAGTTTTGAAATATATTCACAATTTTTTTATAATTTAGAAGATACTTGCTGTATATTAGAGAATCTAAACATTGTGTATAATTTATATATCATTAATACAAATTATGACATTTAAATTATGTTACTTTCTCGTTTAAAAAAGTTTTTTACAGCGTAGCGGTGTCCATGCATGAGAAGTTTTAAACCAGTTAGTGAATAACCCAAGCTTCATATTAGCGTTTATTAGTTAGTGTTTGAGCAATAAATACAGTGGATTATAATTGCATGTTTTTCCAATCAATTTAGCGAAGCCCAATTTGCGGCAATCGTCTACCTTATTTAAGTATTCAGCGTCGCCGGAACCGTCGATTAAACTGACATCGTAATCACCAGAAGCGAACTCTTCATCTGCTGAAAACTATAAAAACACGTGGAATTAATAAATGAATAATAAATTATCGATTCGCTCAGTATTCTTCGATGTAATATGCGCAATATCGCTTGCTAAAAATATATAAATAATGGAGAAATCCATTAAAAGCTTGCTTAAGGTTAGTTTTAATAAATCACGATGAAAAATGAGATTATCATATTTTTTGCGATGATTCAATCTTACTTTCTAGAGTAATTATAATCACGTGAAAAATTCTAAAATTAAAATTGTATTTGGTTCTTCTGATGTAAAAATTTCAGAAAAAATAATAATATTGAAATATATTAATTTATGCAAATACGTTTAAGCAAATTAGTTTTGAAATCAAAACTTAGATGACTTTTATTCTTAAAAAACAGGTATTAACCATTCTGTTTAAGTGAACTATGAACTACCTTCAAATGAAGTAATTAATTAATCATCTAAATGTATAATATATTAAAAAAGAATAAATTAATCTGCACACAGTAATTCCAATTTTCTAATATATGTATATATATAT